CACTGGACCTTTAAATATATTAAACTACAAAATACTGTGAATCCAAACACACAGAAATCAACTAAATGTTTTGAGGAAGTGTAACTGGAAATGTAGTTAATATAAACAACGTACTGTAGACTGGAGTGATAAAGGTCACTAGTTGAACTAGTGTCAGTATCTCTTCCTACATTAATATAAATGCATCCTGATTGGTACTTGAATGCAACATGATATGAATAAAATGCAGACTGTGAGGAACGGGGGTCAATAGGTGCCCCAGGGTCCCCTAGAAGATTAATCCGGCCCTGGAGGAACTCAATGACATAAATAACTTATCTATAATCTTCTCATTTTCATCCATTTAGCACAATTTCAGAAGCTACAAACAAAACACACACATCTCCTGCACATTTGTAAGCTGCAGCTTAGGATGGTGATGCATTTAATTTGTCACATTTACTTTAAGAAATGGCAGTCACGATGCAAATTATGGATGCTTATTCCTCATTATGTGCACTTTAGAGGCTGATTATAAGCGGTCTATTCTATCCGAACCATTACAAATCTGTTTCACACACACTTCCAGATGTGTTCAGGGATATAAAGGACCATTATATACACTTATAATATGCCTTCAAAGTCCAGAATAGGAACCTTTGTTATGGACCTTTGCTCCTTTAAAATTAAAAAATACCAGCAAGTTTAGCTACAGTGCACATACATATTAAAACCTATATATTAAATGAAATCCATCAACACTCATATATTGAATTAAAATGTTTGTTTCTGCGGATATATCTCTAAATACACAGATAAACTCACTCTGAAGGAGATAATTAGCCTTTAATCTTTATATATATATAAAACTAATGAGTGTGATGTGTTAATACCTGGATGTGGTCCGCAGACTCCAGACCTCTGCGCTGGTTCTTGATCTCTGAAATGCGTCCTCACCTGCTCCAGCCGTCGGTAACGGGGTTATCTGTACTAAATCCTCCGGAGTAAAGAGAGGAGTCTCCAAAAAGTTTCTACTCTTCGTACCAAATGTGTTAGAAAAGCTCACCAGGCTGATCTGAGCTCGAATTTAGTGTCTACATCAAAGTTTAAGAATCCTTTAAGAGCCAGCGATCTGACTGCAGCTGTGATGGTCTCACTCTCTCTCTCTCTCTC